CTATTGCTGACCGTGCAAGGCTTCACAACTTAGCGATAACCGTTGACTGGGATCTGCAGTCACACAGTTGGGCGGCCTAGGCATGCAATGACTTAAAAGGTAAACTTAGTGGGTCATACATGCAGCCTCAGTTGTACCATTACGAGTATCGCGCCGGACCAACAGTTGGATCAGAAGCAGAACGCGTAAATTGGTTAACGGCAGAGATGAGGTTTGGAGGCAGTATGCACCAAGCCCATGTAATGTTACATGGAAGCATTACAAAACAAGCAGAAACTATTGCACGTCCCTTATTAGAAGCGACAAGTATGAAGGGCATCATACCATGGTAAGTAAGTTTACGATCAACACCAAGCTGATTTCCAGGTACGTGGATGGAAAAAGAAAGGATAGGCTTGAGATCCTCACAATAAAGAAGGTCAGTGGCTTAACGATTACTACTGTGGATACGGCGAATGCTCCACTTCTGCAGGTTGGCTCAGTGGCTATAAATACCACACAGTCTTCGCCCGATTAACTTCCAACCCATGTCGCCGGCTTATTCAGCGCTACTTTTCCCCAACAGCTGTTGCAAGCCAGTTACAGTCTTTCTGAGAAAACAGTGCCTCGGTAATCGACAAAGTCTGTCCAAAGTTTTTTTTAAAGCCCTTATCTCCACCATAGCAGTACGTATTGCAGCGTTTTTCAATGGTTTGTTTAACTCCCATACACTCTCATCTGAGTGGAAGCGTGGAATGATCATTTTGATCTACAGAGGAGATAAGCGATCGGATCCTGCCAGCTATCGACCTAGTACTCTCCTCCCTATTTTCTCAAATGTGCTAGCATTAACAAGCTCAGATGAACTGAGGAGACATTTTGAAAGTCTGCAAATATTTTCAAATATCTAACATGGCTTCAGATGCAAACGATCTTGTCTCACCAATCCACTTCTTGCTCGGGATTTATGGAGATGATGTTGATTAGACTAAGACATGGATAGTAACTCTCGCAACATCCGACTGTATCCATCTCCAGAGCGATCTGTACCCCGCTTAACGAGTGGACAGAAATGAACCAGCTCCCACTTAACCATGCAAAGCGTTACCTGCTGACGGTAGATTATAGCTTCATAAACACATCAGTTGAGGTAACACTTTCTACATCACCTGACCAATAGAAGCGACTTGGGTGTCATGGTGCAAGAAACTCTTGTCAATTCGCTCCAGTGTTCGAGAGCGGCAGATATGGCGAAGTTGAACTGCAGGTTCTTGAGGCGAGCTCTCGGCACCTTGGGACGACGGCTAGTACCACAGTTTATAAGCGCATATCTTCTTCCCCGCGTTGAATATGCCGTTCAGGCATGGCGTCTATCACTAAAACGAGACATTCGTTTCTTAGAGCAGCCACAAGGAAGATCCACCAAGGCAACACGTGGACTATCCGGTCTCAGTTACGAACTGCTCCTTCGTTTGCTCAGTGTCTTCCTCTCGGAATACCGACGGTTTCACGGAGATCTCGTTCTCCCATATCGGATGCTAACTGAGAGCCAACACCAGTATACATCACTGCTGACCCTACCTTCTTACAAACATCCTTGATACCACCACAGGCAACTAGTACCGCAAAACTTTCGTTTAGAATGCCAACATATTTTTTGTAATCTTAAAATCTATTCACACTGGAATGCACCACCAGTACCAAGCATCGCGACATTCGAAAGTCTAAAGGATTTATACCTAGGTACTAAACGCTATACAATAGTATACAACAGTTCTAGACTGATGGCTAGACTTCTGATATTTCACGTTCGACGTTGGAACACTGATTTTATTTGCATCTGCAACCCTGTACGTCTTGTAAGTCTATGACATTTTCCCATCATACATTATTTAACGATTTGCATGGATTCACTTCGGTAGTCCTCTAAGCCGTCCCTAGTCGGTTTACGATCGCTCCAAAGAATATTCATAAATATCCACTGGGGAGCTGTAAATGATAGGGATGTTTCCTGTTAAGTAGCAGAATATAGCAATACTTGTGAGGGTCTTGGGTTACCATAGGGTCTTCAATTTAGTTGACGGGTGACGGATGACCCACCTCAGCTTGGCGGGCATAATTACCACACTTAGGATGCTAACTACGTAGTTACGCTGGCTCACGTCATCGAGTTGTTTTCCCTTTAAGGAAGTTGCATTCAATACGGAGGAAGCCGTGCAGATTGCCGACGGCGTGCTATGTAGTCTCTTGGTAACACTTGGTGTACCGTAAGCCGCGCTCGCTTAACCCGATGGTCTGCATACTATCGATGATGACTGCTTACGCTGAACTTCGCCTGCTACATTTGTTTATGAGCCGTTGGGAATAACTAGGAGTCTAAATTTCTGGTTGTTTTTGGCGGAAATCAGGTTGCACTTGTTACTCTTTTCAACATGCTTCTGAGGGGCCAGGGCATTTTGTAGGATAAACCAAGCCCTGCTTTTGTTTATTCCAAGCCGACTGGGTGTGGTTTGTTTGGACGTATTTGAGCCACTTTGGGGGTTAACACACGATTGGTTTTTTCAAACAACAGATGGTCTTTTTAACTGCATAAGGGGACCTTCTCTTCATAGTTGAAGCAAAGATTAATGGGCGGACAGAGACCAAGGTCGCAATAGGTTTACTTGTTGTGAAGTGATATATTTATTCGCCGTTCGCTAAATTATTGTTAAGAGTTCGTATTTCTGAGATAACTGCAGTGCAATCGCGACCAGCGGAGTAACCGTACACGCTGTGCAAATACAGCGATATTCTGGCCTGCATTTTGTACATCCACACTGTTAGGTCTCGAACGGCTTGCTCCGAGGAAAATTGCGCTGTCTGAGAATCAGTTCGAGTTGGCGCCACTGATTCAGAGCAAATCTTGCAACTTGCATGAGAAAAGAGAATTTTACAAGGACCAAAGCCAATTGCACACAGAAACGAAGCAAATTGACTTGTTCAGGAAGATAAGTGCGCAATTTCCCACAAGTAAGAGTGTGCGTTGTATCAGAACAGTCTCAGTTACAAGCAGACTAATGTTTTTCCGTGTTGCAGAACTTTCGTTACTATCGCTTGTTTCACGCCACTCACATGTCCCTTGTTTCTTCGAGACCTATAAAATCAAACGAGCACACATTCGTGAGTTGAACGGTATCGGTGTGTTTCCATCCCACGTCGGCCTGTTCTGTGTTCGCCAATACGCCACTCGTCCGGCGGTTTGTCTTTTGAATCGCTTGGCGCAATCTAAGAAGCTGCTAAGTTGAACCCCTGGGGACACAACACTCATCTCACTTGGTTAGATCTTAGCACGTTCAGAATGAAAGCTTGTAGGTCAACTAGCACACTAAACCCATGTTTATACTTCCGATTAGAGGAAACCGAAGCACGGATTCTTTCCGTTCAAGTTACCTTAGGTGCGGCATCATCTGCTGCTGACTGTGAACTATCTTCTAAACATATGCTTGTCCGCTAGTGCTCACTTGACTTAGGTTAATGGGAAAAGCTCAGGGTTCGTACACGTAGAAGTTCGTCTCCTTTTCCGCACGCTACAGTGATCGGCTCTGGCGTAGGCACTTTTGTATCACAGCACAGTGCGCTACCGGACTTTGCGGACAGGCCAGGCGGCTTTGCTGAAAGTCTAAAAGCTAATGCCAGCTAACAAAGCGACAGTGTGGGGAACGACACAAATTGTCTACTAGCTAATTTTCTTGACCACCGATAGACATGACTGTTAGCCCGTTTCAACGCCCTTGAAGTTGGCTCTCGTTTAAGATCACAAATGTTTTTGTAAAGTAACGAGATTTGTAGCTTATGTGCGTTGGAAATAGTTGTTCAGCTATGTGATGTAAGGATCAAAGATGATAAACACTGATTTGATCCTGAAGAATAAATGCTTTAAATAGCGTTCATCGAGATGATTCGAACGCTTGCCAGCACCCATGTTTGCTTTAAAAATCGGGAGAATAAATCCGGACACATTTCCATAACAGAACTAATTCGACCGAAAGGTAGGCACAAAAGTGAATAAGGCAAGGCTTGGGGTACAGAAAATATTGCATGCTCAACCGTATCGCATTGAGCAGAGTCGTGTTAATTTGACTGTATTTTAATATGTACTAAACAAACCTTGCTTTGCCCGAAATTTAACTGCAGTACATCGGCGTCGTGCTTGATTGCGGATTCCAACTAGGCACACGTTGTCTACAGCTTTAATTAAATTATCCCATATGGCTGAATATGTAACACCCTGATACTCGGCATTCGGGGTATGCCTAACTAGCATTTTGCGCAAATTCTCCCCACATTCGTTGCGAAAGCTGGAATCTTGCTGCTGTTACTGCAATTGCGACCAAGCCTAGAGGAGCATCGTTAAACAACGACACGCATCCAATGCAGTATGGTATGGAATCGAAGGGGCTGACAAGGGTTTACCCCCCTGCTCACTACAACTAAATGAACTCAATGAGCATCGTTCTTCTCACATCTTAGCTAAATTTTTTGGCAATTTATCAAATATTCATTTTCACCGACAGTTATAAAGTAGCAGGTGGTTTGACATCTCTTGAACCGAAAACTACCCTTCAGTTCATTACGGACGATCTGATTACCATAAAAAATCATGTGATGAATTACTGCACTTAATACATCACACCCGACAGATTTACATCACTTTTGGCGGAAAGTTTTGCAGTCTGTGTTGAGCCCTTAAATAAAATGCTTACAATCATCCACAAACCTAAAAAATGACAAGTCGCATCTGGGGTCTGTTATCAGTAGTACAGTTAAATCAATAGATGCCTAAACTGATGATTCACTTATCCTGCGGTGTTTTAATGTTCACTCCAATCATCCTACGGGGCTCGTCAAGCCCCATCCTTTTAATCGCAATAAATAATTGTTTATTGTTCAATTGACCGAGTTGTTTTAAACTTAACAAGAGTTTACTTTAGTCAATGTGAATAAAAGCTTAACACATAGTCCCGTGCGGATAATAAACTTACGGTTTTCATTGTACAGCTTTCTGAGCCCAACGGAATTCCGCTGATTGGATACCTTGTCGCTGACCGATTGATCGGTTACATGCTTGGCATCTACAGTGAAAGAAATCCAACGGTTGGTGGATTCCGTGAAAGCAATAACATTGCTATTATGAAATTTCATTCTATGGACGCTGTATTATAATTCGCAGTATATCAAATATTACTAGCTAGTTTATTTACAAAATTAACGGCCCTCAAATGGTATGTTCTGCGGAGTTCCAGAAAGATTGCGACGAGTAGCTAACCAGTTTTAAGTAAACATATCTCGAGCTCCGGTGTTTACTATACAACGACGAGTAATAACAAAGTATTTGTGTCACCATTTCCCCGAAACGTTGCGGTTCTGCCTCGGTTTCAAATGCATCTGCTTTTCGTCAATTCGTCAACTTCACCTGTCATTACAACTGCCGGTTGAATAACAGCAAGAAGCTTTCATGTTCCAATGGTGATTAGTCCTAGCCGTTATCATTCACTTCTCTTTTGGATCATTGGAGTTTACTTGTTTAAAAAGTCGCCGCTACTAGTTTTGTGTCGTTGTTGGATGATGTTCCGCTTCTGATACATAGGTCTATCAAACCAAGCTGCATCTACCTGAGATGACGTCTATACCTAATCTAGACTACAGCCTCTTAATAGCTTTGAATCAAGTATTCATCTAAAGTGTTATAGTCAGTGCGTAACTATCCACGTTACAAAGTGCCTCCATGCATGATTTTAGAAATGGACGTTATCTTATTGCGATGGCAAACGTGCTGCTTTTCAAACTACATTCCTGATGCATCCAGCAAACGCTCATCCAACTGCCATGCATAAAATCAACTCAAAACATCGAACTTAATGAATAGCTTTTCACCCACAGCGTCCGTGTCTCAAATTGCTACCAACCGGTAATGTTAAGCAATCCCAAGCACATAAGCTTCACAAATTTGACGGCGTCCATTTCAGGCAAATAAAAAACACACCCTGGATTCTTGCTTCACCCGGGTTAGCCTGTCGGAAATTATCCTCAATTTTACCGTATCATATTAGTCATAGTCGCTGGGATATAAATTCATAGAAATACTCGATCGATGATATGTTTATTGCTCAATCAGCTAACGCTGTTTGCTGGGGTTCTGCAGTTACGTGGGAAGTATTGCGCAAGTCTCTTCTGGAAGGACAGTGCGTTGTTGTTTTTGACTGCCAAAGTGTGTCAACCCTCAACTAAGAAGCACAAACAAGGTTGCAAGCTGGAGTATATTGAAGACCAAAGAATTTAGCCAGACTTAAGTAGAACTGCACTGAAAAAGACTGCACTACTTATAGCTTAATTGGTCATGAGTGTTGATGTCAGATAAACACTAGTCTGTTGATCGATGACATTCCGGTCTGTTTTGATCTAACTTGTGAGCATTTACTGGTTGTGACCTTGGTCCCGGTTTGTCCTGACCTTCGAGGCAGATGACATGTTGACCACGGATCGTAGGCTTCAGTGATCTGTGCCCCAGAAACCGCAGTTTCGTAGCCAATAACTACCCGAAGCACATACCAGTATATATTTTTGAGCCAGTTTTGGCAGTTGTTCCGAAGTAAATCGAGTTTCTCACCCAACACTGCGCCGCTGAAGTGGAACGCGCTGCAAGCGAATGTATACAAAGTGTTTGAGTTTAGTTTTAAACTTGTTGACAGTTTCATCCTTGTACACTGCGCACCCTAAACTTTTGGTTTAAATGCCAATCGTAAGCGTTGATGCAGCAAGAGACAGGCTCTATAATTCTTACTTGTCGTGCACCGTTTAAATTTCCCTAGCAGTTTTTATGCCTATCATCAAGTTTACTGCCAGAATTCGGGACTTTACTTCTCCGTTATCTTAACAGGTACTGCAATTGCATATTAATCTACCGTGCGGTACGAAACGGCTGTTACTTAGAGGAGTGCAACTTGTGTCGTACCATTCCAGTGAGGTAGTTTCACCTTGCTATCTTCACTCAGAACCACCAATTCAGCTTCGGTAAAGACTGATTTTGGTGGATGAATCTTTTGTTTGCTTGAGTTATCGGCGTGTATGAACAGGCATTAAAGACCCTGTAGAGGCAAGCACTTGAAATACACTGTATCACCAGATGCTGATGTTGAGCAGACAGCTCCGCAAGTGAACTAGCTGCTCTGTTTATATACTTTTGTTCTTCTTCACCGGAATTTTGATATGCATAGCGCCGTATTGGCAAGATACGCTAAGTGTGCAAATTCCCCACATCGTTTAGTACTCCGAGTGACAATCGAACTCTTCGTTTTGAGTCGCAATACCTCTTGTTCACGAAACCGAAGGCGCATGTGGTATCAGAAGTTATTGGCAGTAAGGTATGTGCGTTTAAGATTAATAGCGGTGCTTTAACCACCGACCCTGATTCTTAAATCTGTACGTATTTTGCTTACCAAAGGTGTTGACTAGACTGATGATGAATCCATCAACATTACTCCTGGAGCTGTACAACTGAATCACTCAAAATAATAAGCGGGAATACATGTACCCGATTTCGAACTGAATGAACTCACAGAGGTTTCATTTTCCTCAAGACCACGCTTTCAGGCCAAATAACCTGTCGCTTACTGTATGTTTAGCGTTCCTCTGGTTTACATCCCCTTAACTTTTACAAGTCATTTGTTTCCGCAATGTGTTTAAGAAAATCCTGACAGCTACTGTCTTTACTGTTGAGCTGCCCGATGACCGCAATAAGAACAAGAAAGACGAACCGGAACTGAATAGTATACCTGATAAATCGACTTAACATAAATAGCGCACATCAATATTTGAAGCACAGCTGCTGAAACATGTTGGAGCAAATCAGTAACATAGGAGACTGGCGAACGAGATGTGGCAGACGTCAGAACAGATCATGCGCGCCCGGGGAAGCGGTATTAGCGAAGTGGACTCCTGCGTTAACATCCATTACGAACGAAGTAAGCCGGTCAATCAACATAAAAATGAGGCTTTTGACCAATGTCAAGAAAAAATAAGAGATACGAAAGACAGTAACCATTAATTCTCATAAATAATGTCATATAGGCGCTGTCTTGACAATAACCTACTGCGAGTTATGGTTGGGAACCGTCTATTATAATTACACTAGAGTTCGCCGAAACAGTATCCAAGTAAGAGCTTCCTCCACATGCGTTAAAACACTAAGCTGTAGTTTCATTCTTTTAGGAATCATCAGTAGTGCCCGTCCATCGGATTCATCAGGGTTTGTACTCATAAACACCTGGCATTTGCACCCAGTCAGCAGCTTATGACACTGGACCATGGGGGACGGCGCAGAACCGGCATGATTTACCAGCCAACTGCGATATGGTGCGGCTTATGCAGAAAACACGCCGTGTGTTCCACGAAAGTACCGTCATCCTGTACAAACCGTTCACGCATATTTTGTAGAATCTGGGAAAGCAAACTAGGAATTTTTCTGTTTATTCCGAGCCGATGTATACTTTGCGTCTTTTGTCTCACGGATATGGGCATACAGATAAATGTAGACGCATCAAGTACCAGAAGCTGGCGGTATATCAGTTGGAATATTTATAACATGATACTCACCCCATGGGTATGAATGCGTGGGGTACGTACCTGAAAAGGAATGTAAATCGAATGGGGGTTATCAGACATTTCGTTTTTAATCCCACAGTATTCAAGTTTTCACTTATGGTGGTATAATATTTCCCAACTAATTGTCCAGTCCAGCGTTTTGTGTCAATGGATAAAAATTGATTTCCCAATTACAGTCACATTTATGCTTCCTTTCGTCCTAGCCTTCTTATTACAAGGCGAAGTCATAAACATTTGTTTGATACCTCTTATAGGTCCAATGCAGACAGACTTTTGTTACAGAAAGTTTCAAGAATACGGCTTCATGTGCAGCATGGTGATAACGAATGCTGCCTCATATCAGTGGTTTGGATGTACAAAGAAGCCTGACTTTTAAAGGCCGAACGTGCGCAGTGAATTTTCTTGCTTGCTTCGCAAAATTACCACACTGCTGAAAAAGAAGCAGTGGTCAGAAGGCTTGACACGCCATACAAACTCTTGGTGAACCAACTAGGTTTTGGGGATTGCTACGCAAATGGAGTCTGAACGGTCTGTTCTAAATAGCTTGCATTGCTCGTGCACACAAATATTTAGGCAGTTGACTGAGACCCATCTTTTCCCACCCACTCATTAGTTGTCGAGGGAAAAGCATATAAAGAATGGATAGTTATTTGGATAAGTCCATTCTGCTTCGGTTTGGATCACGGAGGTGACCACTGCGAATTTTGCTCACTATCACACCGACCTTTAATGATGTATATACAAGCAGATAGTAGCATACTTTGAAAACCTTGCTGTGCGTTCATTTAACCTTGCTGTTTGATGTGATGTGGACTAATTTTCCGTTTTATTGTACGGTACGCAAAGAATGTTAACGATATTTTTCTCCCCGAAAATCTGATAGAAGCAGAAATATTATTAATGAGTAGTGGGGATTTGGTATGCTTAGACGTAGTTCAGCACTATCCAGTCTCGGTCGGCAGGATTATGTTAGTCTGGGAAAGCACCAGATACCGGTGGTTCGACCTTCTGGGTCTCATCAGTGGTGCGGCTTCCAGCCGATCCACGCCGGTTTCCGCACCCCCCATCACTTCCGGATGTCAGTAGCTAGTGTCACTTTACCATGGGTAACAGCCGCGGACTTGCATGATTTACAGTTGACAGTGATATAACCCATTACCTTGAGAAAATTACGCGAGGCACGCAATGATGAAAACAAAAAGTAAGGACTTTACAAGTAATGAAACTCACGAAAAACTTCCGTGCTGTTTCGAAACATTCCAAATGGTGTTTCCACAACACAAGTATACAGTCCATAGTCTTGCCTTGTGAGATTGTTTATGAACACCGTTGTCTGGACTTCATTCTGAACTGAGTTGATTTTGTCTGGTAAGGGAGCATGAGGAAAGAACATATTGCGGTCAAAGCAACTAATGCTAGGGTTTCTTTGCTTCGTAAAAACAGTTTTGCATCTGAATCTCTCTGGAATGTATCCAAGGCTAATTATTTTCTATCTGCTGAAGAGAGGCTGAAATTAGTAGCTTTAGTCGTTTTCTCGGAATCAGTGAGGAATTCTGCTTCGCCATTGGGTGGGGTCAATAAGTCATGGTATTCTTCGAAGCGCGTCAGTGCCGTCTCGAAGTAACCGTTACTACGTACTAAAAATCGCGATGCAGCAAAGCTGACCAATGTTGCTCAGCATCCTCATGTGCGTTGGTGATATAACCTTGTGCTCCTAGCCCCACTGGGAAACTGAACTCGCCAGCATCCAGTTATGACTTTCGCCGTTCAGTGAGTAAGAACCGTTCGTTATTTTATCCTTGATAGAGCAGTGTCCTTTTGCTTGTGAGTAACTCCAGCGGAATGATAGAATAATAGGGACATGGAGTTTCATAGCTGTTCAGAAACATGCGGCAGTGAAACATGTTGGCAACCAGTATTTAGTAGGAAGCTCCACTGATGGCCTGTGGTGAGGCGGTCTTAATACCTACGATCGAAATGACAGCTAGTTAAACGAATACCCAGTCAACTTGAGTGTAAAATGCTGCGTTTTGCTCAAAGTATTGAATATACCAGCGGACGCCGCGAATTGTTGGATTACCGTGCTGGATTCAACATTTTCTTTCGGATTACTGTATTATAGGTGATTTTCTGTGTGAATTATTTACCAATATTTTGCTTTTGGTGTATCTTTCAATCGGTGAGAATTGGTGGATGTTCTCTGACTAATTTCGGACTTCTCATTGATTAGCCCAACTGCTGTCTTTGTCCACCATCTTGCGTTGGTTCTACGGTAATCGGCCATCCTGACCACTGCATCGGTAACCCAAAAGGAAGCGTTTTGTGTTAATCAAACTTGCGCTAAGGTATTAAAAGGAGGGTTGACTTGTACAAACTGCCAAGACCGGCGCCATTCAAAATATGTCAACGTCCGTAAAACCGACATGAAGAAAAACAATAGGCCCTGTCCGAAGTGCACACCGATTCCACTGGTAAAATGCGTACTAGCGTTAAGAAAATAGTACGACAGCCTAGTCGTCGAACCTGAACATCGTTTGGATGCAACAATTGCTTCGCTGGAAGTGAAAATGGCGCATCTTGTACTTCATCCATCTCCCTTAATTGCTGCCTCGAAACCAAGGAAAAGTGCAATTCTTTCAAACGTACGCGCAGTACTAAAAACCTAGGGAACCGGAAAGCAAGTCGTCATCTCGACCGAGAGAAGCATGTCTAGCCCCATCCCCATATCCTCTAATCCAATTTATCGACTGATGCAACATCGTTAACGCCTAGTCTTCCGATTGACCAACGTAATCCGAAGCGATCTAAAGACCGATCCACCTATGCAACTGTTGATGTATAGTGTAATTGAAGTGCGATCTCAGTAGCCTCACTCGGTAAAGTCGCAAAACTAGTCAAGGATCAGGTGCAACCTGCACAGACATCACTAATTCCAACGATAATCTTGCTTTCCACATCACCGAAGATGAGGCGGAACTACGGGGCCTTAACACTTTTAGGCACCAAGGTTCCTGAGTCCAAGGCAAACTCTTTAAGAGGTAAACAGCTAGATACTTTAAAGCAATGGAACTTCCTTTATGAGAAAATCTGAGTTTAAACCAGTCCGACTAATTTAATGCGCATCACTAGACATCCAACCTCGAATCATTATGGGGAGTGTCGGCTAATACGAGTAAGATTGGGATCAATGGATGAGGTCGAGAAGGTGCTTTTGTCGGCATACCGCCTGTGAACTGAAAACAGTGAAATACGCATATTTCCGGATGTTCCGTGGAGCGAACGCCATCGGGACAAAAATAATTCAAACAACTACCACACGGAGAGTGGAAAGAGAATTATTTTTGTTCATGGTGTGCCCGAACTACAGACAACCAACAAGGAAGAAGCCCATGTTCATGACCTGGAAGAATGGTGTTACATCCGTGAAGCTCTTTGTGTGGGCGACGTCATACTTAAGTCGATTACACGGTTACTTGTGTCGCCAAAGTACAGGAACTGTGGCCCGAGGATACTGAAAGTAACGGTGTAAACACAACAGATGGTCGTGAAGTTGATCCGTAGCTGGCAGTTAATACGTAACACACTTCCCTAGGAACTACCACTGAAGACAACTTTTGGAGAGCCGCAGCTACTCGCTGTTCTCGCGGAAAGGACACCACCAACGACAATATAATCACAACCGCGATTCAAGAACCAATGCACTAAAACCCATAGATATCGAGAAGACTGCCGACGGACTACCTATCGCAGGTAAAAATGAGATCAAACACGGATTACATTCCTATCGAGATCTGGCAGTTCATCTAAAAAGCGATTAGGTGCCGTCCTCTCAAGGGTGTGTACAAATCCACATCATTCATGTGCTCCTAGTTAACAGCTTTTGACATCCGAAAAGGCTTACTAGTAAACTTTCCGAAATGCGGCTGCTTACAAGATCCAAAGCCTGTGACGTCTTCGCTATACCGGAGACATCGTTAGGCACTGACATAAGTGACATGGAAATCGCATTGCCAGGCATGTTCATTAATCGGCACGACTGACCCAGCAAAGGTGGTGGGGCGGCTGCGTACTTCTGCGATGACCTCAACGTGAGCTTATAGAGGATCCAGTCAGTAAGGTGCGACATACCCTTAGGTGCCTCCTACGTTTCAAAGACGAAGACAATTACTTAGTGGCGGTAATTCAACGCCCTCCTTCCTTCAAGCCCGAGATGGACTCCCATCTGGCATCCGCAATAAGTGCCGTAGAAATGCATCTACAGTTTCAACATGATTATCAAGTTCATTTTTTCCCCTTCCTTCATGGAGGTACTTTTGATGAATTGTCACTTGGTATTGAACAATCATCCGTACTAAAAATGCCGCCCACTGTCACATGCCGTCCGGAGCGGACCGCCCCCTCCGCACCCCTATGCTACGTCTCTGGACGGTCATTTACCGCCCTCCTTCTTCCACTCCCGAAATGGACTCGCATCTGACATCCGCAATAAGTAGGGTGCTAAACACAACTTACAGTCACATTTTCATTAATGGCGCTTTCACCCACGCTCTGGAATCTAAAGCAGCTCCCGGAGAACATTTTAAGGCAGATATAATTAGTTTGTCGCCAGTTACTCGTTGAATAGCTACATCAGCATTCCTACCCGATTTCAAGAAACTGATAAGCCTTCGATACTGGATCGGGTATTCACCAAAGAAGAACTAATGGTATAGGTAGAAGTTCGTCATATCTAGACTCACTCAGACACCCATCACACGCCCGGAAAAGCATTGTACGCGCGTTTCGGCCTTTCAGGAATCGTTAGCAGTGCGTATTCCATCGGAATCTGGTAGAGCTCGAGCCCGTGGTTGAGATCACTGAGCTATGGGGGACAGCAACGACTATCGTGAATAAGTTACTAGGTCTGATATAGCTCCGCTCACTATCCACTGACTTGCACGTTAGTACCGTGCAGAGGACAGGGTGATCGTCAACGTCCCCTTGCGTCGCAGCGATCATGCAGTACTACTTTAGGAATACATTTGCCACGCAGTATATCCTTTGGAAATTGCCGACATAACGAGAACGTATGTACTTTATTACCTATTAGCTTGACTAGGTGAGACAACCAACTGGACATTTCTGGCAACCGAGGTACCAGCTAATGAACGGGAACATTTTGTCTGCCAGTTTAGCTATCAGGTTGCCGAAGCATCAGCGACTAAGACCTTCCTCCGGAGAAACGTTTTCTCGTTTCTGCGAAGCAGGACACGCAAGTGTATAGCGTTGTGAAACCCAGCCTGGTATATCTATAAACTTTCTCTGAGCACCAAGAATTGGATGGCATTTGCAACCCAACGTAACCACTGTACTCAGCTTGTTCGCGAGGTTAGAATGGCGTACCAGCAGAAATTGCCAATGCGTATATCTTCAAACCACAAATTGTTGTAGCAAGACGTCAACAATCTATGTAAGCTGAAACGGGAAATTCCTCCTCTTCAAACAGCGGACGGACCCACATGGACACCGAAGGAGGCGGCAAATACTCTGCGCCTAAAATATGCTGCAACATTACAGTGCGACCACTGGCCACCTAACTCTCTGGAGATGGTTGTTTTACCCCAAAATCTCACTCACATATCCTTCACAGCAGAAGCTGTACTAAAAAAGCTGTTGCGTATGCGCAAGCGCAGCTATCCTGGAGTTGATAATGTGCACACGAAATCGCTATCGGCGGTAGCGGTGTGTTTAGCTGAGCCTTTGACTTGATTCTTCCATCAGTGTTTTGAAGCAATGTACGTGCCCGACATGGGGAAACACTGGATGATTACTCCTATTCACAATGAAGGTAATGCTTCCAATCCAGCCAACTATCGTCCCATATTCTTACTACCCGTTCTTTCAAAGGTCTTGTAAGCTATTACTTCTGAAGCGCTAAACGCATACTTTGAAGAATTTGAATAGCACACAGCGGAACTACATTGCTCCCGAGGAAATCGATCATGCCCTACAAATCTACTACTAGCAGGATCCAGCTGGACTAAAGCAATAAACTCTGGCACAGGAGTTGCTGTAGCCTTTCTCGACTTCTCAAAGGCCTTCAACAAGTTAGATCATAACATTCTGCTCTTCAAACTCCAGACATTTGGTATTGGTGACTCAATCATAGGATTGATCGGAAGCTTTTTCTGCACTGGCGCCTGGAAGTACGTGTGCGTGAGTCGCTGTCAGATCTCATCCAAGTTGAATACGCAGTACAAGAGGCATCGGCACTAGGATAAAGATTATTTTTGACGTATATAAACGATATCACACGCATCATAAACTCGAAATGCCTTCTGTATACCGATGACCCCAAGGTGTGGAGGGTGATCAAAACACCAGAT